AATCAGGAAATATATCTTCTAGCTAATATCATGGGCAATAAATGGAGAGAATCAAGGGAGATAATCAGGGGCTTTCTAACACTCCCCCTCAAGCTGGAGAGTAAATGTCAACCATTCCCAGCTTGCTTCGAAGCCCTTCAAACTTGACTCTGGCTAAAGGTTTGGTCATGACGTCAGCAATCTGATCAGTTGAGCGCACATAGCTCAGGTTAATTGTGCCATCTTCAACCTTTTCTTTGATGAAGTGTCGATCAATGTCAACATGCTTTGTTCGGTCATGATACACAGGATTCTTGGTCATTTCAATGCTGGCTTGGTTGTCACACCAGAGGTTCATAGGTCCTTCATAGGAAATTCTCAATTCCTTCAGAAGTCTGATCACCCACATTCCTTCACATACCCCCAGGGCTACAGCTCTTAGCTCAGCTTCAGCACTACTCCTTGAGACTACTGTCTGTTTCTTGCTTCGCCAAGTGACTAGGTTTCCCCAAACATAAGTGCAGTATCCTGTGACAGATCTTCTGTTATCCACAGCTCTCCCATGATCTGCATCAGTGTAGACCTCTATGTTCCTTGTACTCCCCTTTTTAAAGAATATTCCTCTTCCAGGATTGAGTTTGAGGTAGGTCAGGATTCTGTATACTGCTTCCATATGTTCTTCTTGGGGTTGATGCATAAATTGGCTTACTACTCCAACAGCATAGCTAATGTCAGGCCTTGTATGAGTCAAGTAGATCAGTTTACCTACAAGTCTTCTGTACCTTTCTGAGTTGACTGGTATCCCGTCTGGTTTCACTTCCAGATTACATGATTCTTCCATAGGCGTCTCACTAGGTTTAGCCCCAAGTATTCCTGTTTCGTGGAGCAAATCGAGTGTGTACTTTCGTTGAGACACACTTATACCCTTTTTGGATCTTGCAACCTCCATTCCAAGAAAGTACTTCATTTGTCCTAGGTCCTTCACTTGGAATTCCCTAGCTAGAGCTTTCTTGAGTTGGGAGATAGAAACTTCATCACTGCCAGTTATGACTATATCATCCACATACACAATTAGGATCGTTACCTTTCCATTACTGTGTTTAACGAAGAGAGTGTGATCAGCTTGTCCTTGGACGTAGCCAAACCTTTTGATTGCCTTGGCAAACCTATCGAACCACGCTCGTGGAGACTGTTTCAGGCCATATAGTGATTTCTTCAGTTTGCAAACTGAGTTGGGTGGAGCTATTACTCCATCTGGGATTTCCATATACACTTCCTCCTCCAAATCTCCATTTAGGAAAGCATTCTTCACATCTAGTTGATGTAGAGACCAATCAAGGTTAGCAGCTAGAGACAGGAGTACCTGGATGGTGTTGAACTTTGCCACAGGAGCAAACGTTTCCTGATAATCAATCCCATAAGTCTGGGTGTACCCTTTTGCAACTAATCTTCCTTTGTACTTGTTGATACTTCCATCAGGATTGAATTTAGGGGTGAAGATCCACCTGCAACCCACTGCTTTCTTGCCCTTAGGAAGTGTGGTAATATCCCACGTGTTATTTTCCTTTAAGGCTCTCAACTCCTCATATGCGGCACGTTTCCAATTAAGATCTTTCATAGCCTGTTGAAATGTTTCTGGAATCTTCACCTGTGAGCTATTCACCACAAAGGTTTGCATTCTAGTAGATAAATTGCCATAGGAGACAAATTTTTGAATAGGATGCTGAGTACATGATCTTACCCCCTTTCTAAGTGCAATGGGCCACCCTAGCTCTTCAGGATCCAACTCTGGATTGGAATCATGTTGCTGCCTTGGAATGGAAGGAACCCTACTACTACTATCCTGCTCACCTGATTGAGGACTTGAACGCTCTGTCACCCCTGCATCAATTTCAGCATTTGTTTCCATTGGGTGAGTCGGGTGAGGAGTGTTTGTGGGGTTTTGGTGCTCTAGTGGAGGTGTAGGACTAGGGGTTTTTGGTTCCGGTTCAGGGACAATGATTTCTTCTTGTGGTATGGCAGGTTCAAGAGGGGTGGTAAGATGTGTGTTGGGATTGGTTGTAGGTTCAGGTGTAATTAGCCATTCTACTCCATAGTGCTCCCCCTGAATGGGTAATTTGGGATAATAAGCATCATCCTCATAAAAAACTGTGTCTTTGGAGATTATGAGTTTTCTGGTAGTGGGACAATAACACTTATATCCCTTTTTGGTGGAGGAATACCCTAGGAAAATACATTTTTCTGCTCTAGCATCAAGTTTGCCCCCATCATGTTTATGAACAAAGACGACACACCCAAAGACCTTTTGAGGGATGGTATTGATGATAGGTGAGGTGGGGTAGGTCTCGAGGAGTTTTTGAATGGGGGTAGTGAAATGGAGAATTTTTGAGGTCATTCGATTGATGAGATAAGCAGCGGTTAGCACAGCATCTCCCCAAAACAGACTTGGAACATTTCTTTCCATCATAATAGCTCGGGTTACTTCTAGAAGATGCCTATTTTTCCGCTCAGCAACTCCATTTTGTTGAGGAGTATAGACACATGAGGTTTGGTGATGGATTCCTTCCTGCTCAAGAAATTCCCTAAAGGCTCCACTCACATACTCTTTGGCATTGTCACTTCTTAGAACTTTGATGGGAGTTTGGAATTGGGTTCTCACAAAAGAGTGAAAGTTTTTGAAAATTTGTAAAGCTTCGGATTTTTCTTTCATAAGGTAAACCCATGTGACCCGGGTGTGATCATCGATGAATGTAATAAACCACTTTGTGCCTGTTCGGGTGTTGATTTTGGCTGGTCCCCAAATGTCAGTATGAATCAATGTAAACGGGGCAGTAGGTTTGTAAGTATGTTTGGGATAAGAGGCGCGAGTTTGTTTGGCAATTTGACACGTTTCACATTGGAAAGGAACAGAATTTTTATTGAATAAAGTTGGAAACACATGCTTCATATAATCAAAACTGGGGTGGCCTAATCTTTGATGCCACAACATTACATTTTTATTCTGAGAATTAGAGCTAACTATAGCTTTCTTGGCTCCTGCAGTCTTCATATCTTTTCCTTCAAAGTAGTAGAGTCCATCCCATTCTTTAGCAGTCAAAATCTTCCTCCCCGAGGTCGAATCCTGAAAAACACACTTAACATCATCAAAGATTACCCGACATACTTGTCCTTTAGTCAATTTGCTCACAGATATAAGGTTGCAGGTAAGAGCAGGAACAAACAAAACATTATGGATTTCCAGATCATCAGATAGGGCCACAATGCCAACACCCTCAACTTTAGTATATAGTCCAGTTGCTACTTTTACCCTAAGGTTCTCATGGCAATATTTGAGAGTTTTGAAGAGGGACTTATTACCAGTCATGTGGTCTGTAGCACCGGAGTCAACAATCCAGGTTTCATCACTAGTTACCATTGCATTAAGGGCTATAATAGAATTACCTGACTGAATCAAGTTCACGTTGGGAACTGATTTTGATTTGTTTTGTTTTTCAAGTATCTTACGAAGCATTTGAAGCTCTTCTCTGGTCAACTGGTCTCCCTCATCACCTTTTTCTTCAGAGGAGGTGTGGTGGCTTTTTCTATCTTCCCGTTGTTTCTGCTTCCCTTGGGTTGGTTTCCCATGTAGTTTCCAACATTCGTCTCTGGTGTGGCCTTTCTTGTTACAGTGATTGCACCACTTGTTCCCTTTCTTCTCAGATCCCTCGAATGTTGGGGACCTCCTCATGACTAATGCTGAGCCATCTACTGGGGTTTGGTTACCCTGAGTGAGGTGTCTCCGGCTTTCTTCAAACTTGACCATACTGAAGACTTCAAATAGGGAGGGAAGCGGTTTTAGACCCATAATTCTGCCTCTTACTTCTTCAAAGACATCATTCAAACCCAATAGGAAGTCATAGGTTCGTCCTTTTTCCACCAGCTGTCTGTAGTAATTAGCATCATCCATGTCCTTCCAAGGATGAACTTCAAAGAGATCCAACTGCTGCCATATCTTCGTTAAAGTGCTGTAATATTGTGTTACAGTTAAGTTTCCTTGCTTCAGATCTTTGAGCTGCCTCCTTAGATCCAATAGGGCTGCAGTGTTGTCTAGTGTGGAGTAAGTCCTCTTAGCAGCGTCCCAGATTTCCTTAGCTGTGCTTGCCAAGAGGTATCCTTCACTGATTTCAATAGTCATTGAGTTGCACAGCCAAGACATCACCTGATTATTTTCAGCAAACCAGGTGTCAAATTTGGGATCATTATGTGAAGGTTGTTTTGCCTCTCCATTGATATATTTCTCCTTACGCTTCCCACGTAGATACATTAATACACTTTGAGACCATTGGAGATAGTTGCTACCATTAAGTTTGTGAGCCACCACCATAGCTTGATGTTCAGAGGTTAGGGATGGTTCTGGATCAGAGGCTTGAGAGGTGACTAAAGGTGAAGAAGGAGTGCTTTGAGTATTTGAGGATGTACCGGACATAAGGGCCATTGGAATATTACGAACGGACCCAAAAAGGGGTGGGAATTCTGAAGGGTTCATTTTCTGGATCTCTGAGAGGCACTGTTGGTTTCCGGCGGCGGCGCGTGCAATTCACGCGCAGAGGCAGTGGTGGCGCGTGGGCTTCACGCGCGAAGCTTGTGACGGCGCGTGGGCTTCACGCGCAGCTCCGTTCGGCGTCGTCTTCAAGGGATGCGCCGATCTGAGGGCGCCGGTGAGGACTGGAGGGGCGGTGTCGTCCATGGTCTGCTCCTGGCTTCAGATCTGGGACGCCTCACTCTCTCTCTCTCCTCGCGTTCTCTCTCTCTCTCTCTCACGGCAGCGACGCACGAAGTTTTCTGGGTTCAGGAGGAACCCTATGCTCTGATACCATGTTTACTTTGCTGAATACTTCATGCTCATTTTATTATTCCATATGATTGGGTTACAATATATAGAGTCCGAATGAGAGATAATATCCGGATACAATCAATCAGCCATAAATTACATATATTGCAATATCTCAATAAATCAGGAAATATATCTTCTAGCTAATATCATGGGCAATAAATGGAGAGAATCAAGGGAGATAATCAGGGGCTTTCTAACAGCAGGCAACTATAATGCCACTATCACGAACGATGAACGTAAAGGTGGAGCCACTCGAAACCCAATAGGAAGCAAAGCCTTCAGGAGCTTTATTGCTCATGCTGGACTCCTTGACTTGGGTTATACAGGCCCAAAATATACTTGGAAGAGAGGGAATCTACTAGTCAGATTAGACCGGGCCTTATGCAACCAGCAATGGCTAGAATCCCATCCCAATACAGAAGTCATGCATTTGCCAATGATCCAAAGCGATCATAGGCCTATCCTCATCCAACTAAAGGGAGAACAACAAGTCACAAAGCCACCATTCCGATTTTTTGCACCGTGGATCTCACACCCGAACTTCAAGGACCTAGTAACCTTAACCTGGACTGAAGGGAGAAGTCTAGTTGAAAACATTGAGCACTTCACTCTTGCGGTCCAAGACTGGAACCATAATACTTTTGGAATTATAGGTCGGAATAAAAGAACTCTGCACAGGAGAATTAATGGTGTCCAAAAGGCACTTGAAAGGAACCCCTTCAACTCCTACCTGCTCGAGATAGAGCGAGCACTCCTGGATGACTACGAGAATGTTTGTATGCAGGAAGAGATCCTATGGCTCCAAAAATCCCGTAGCCAGTGGATCTGTGATGGAGATAGGAATACTCATTATTATCATACCAAAGCGTTAATTCGGCGCAGACAAAACAGAATCTCTATGCTAAAAGACAATGATGGGAGATGGGTATCTGATCAGCACCAACTGAAGTCTATGGCGACTAACTACTTCAAACAACTATATACACTTGAGGACGGCCAATTTGTGCCTTACCCATGTTCAGGTCAGTTTCCCCCACTTACTGATTCTTTGTCAATCCTGCTTGATGGCCCTATTTCAAAAGAGGAAACTAAAAAAGTGCTTTTTGACATGGCCCCTCTGAAATCGCCGGGAGTGGACGGACTGCACGCCATCTTCTTCCAATCTTAAAGGGGAATAGTTGGTGATTCATTATTTCAGGAGGTTAAAAGCATCTTTGAAGGCACAGACATAAACCCTCAACTCAACCGTACATTGATTACCTTGATCCCCAAGACGAGCTCCCCCCAATCCATAAAAGAGTTTAGACCAATCAGCCTTTGCACAACCATCTATAAACTGCTCACTAAGATCATAGCCAATCGGTTAGCACCAGTTATGCCCACTCTCACAGCACCGTATCAAGCTAGCTTCATCAAGGGAAGGAATATCACAGATAATATCATTATAGCCCAAGAAGCTATTCACTCAATGGGAAAGAAGTTTGGTAGAAAAGGATGGATGGCGATTAAAGTGGACTTAGAGAAAGCCTTTGATAGACTTCGGTGAGACTTCGTTGCAGACACCCTGAAAGAGGCCCGATTACCCTATAGGCTTATCACCATTATTATGAAATGCATCACGTCCACCTCCATGCAGGTCCTCTGGAATGGATAGCAATCAGAGACTATCACACCCCAGCGGGGCATAAGACAAGGCGACCCACTTTCCCCTTATATCTTTGTCCTTTGCATGGAAAGACTCTCCCAGCTTATCTCTAAAGCTGTAGAAGATAAAAAATGGCAGCCTATTCGCCTAGGTAGAAGAGGGCCCCCCTTTCGCACCTCTTTTTCGCTGATGACCTCCTTCTCTTTGGAGAAGCCAGCACAGCACAAGCAAAGATACTTAACTCCATCCTAGCTTCCTTTTGTGCCTCCTCGGGTCAGAAAGTTAGCCAACATAAAACCCGCACTTACTATTCTAAGAATGTTTCCCCTCCTCAAGCAGCCTCCCTCAACTCGGCTCTGGGATTCCAAAGAACAACAAATCTAGGCACTTACTTGGGGGTTCCCTTAATTCATGCCAGAATCACTCAAGACACTTACCGATATATAGAGAGCAGAATTCATAAAAAGCTAGCTGGTTGGAAAAGTAAGTCGCTTTCGTTAGCAGGAAGGATCACTCTAGCTCAATCAGTCTTGTCAACCATACCCTACTATGCCATGCAATCAACACGCCTTCCTAGCACCACTTGCAATAGGTTGCAATCCTTAATCCGGAATTTCATTTGGGGATCTAGTGATCAGCACAGAGGCATCCATCTAGTTAAGTGGACTGATATATGTCAACCGAAAGATTGCGGGGGCTATGGTCTAAAGAATCTGGAGCATCAAAATTCAGCATTCCTTATGAAAATTGCTTACAACCTAAGAACAAGGCTTGATCTCTTTTGGGTCCAAGTTCTGAGAGTGAAATATGATTGGCCCAATAAGGCACTTAACTGCAGTAAAATAAATAAGGGATCCCATCTGTGGAAAAATGTTGCAAGTATTTGGGAGGAAATGCAACTGGGCATAAAATGGTGCTTAGGTAATGGGAACCAAATCCGTTTTTGGTCTGACCACTGGATAGGTGACCTGGGGCCTTTGCTTAATCTCTCCTTAAAGCCCTTATCATATGAGGAACTCCAGAGACCCATCAGCCACTATATCACACCGAATGGAGAATGGGATTGGGCTTCATTCCAATAGTTACTCCCTTCCTCTATCATACAATAGATTGGTGAGCTTCCAGCCCCTTCAATCAATGGGCCGCAAGATAATTGTACCTGGGCCCTGCAAAGCAATGGTCTCTTCAGTGTCAAATCCGGATATAATTTGATTGCCCAGGACTTATGGAATGATGTGGACAGTAAATGGGAAATGGCATGGAAATGGCCGGGCCCTCAACGAGTACGTACCTTCCTATGGCTAGCCATGCATATCAAACTCCTCACTAATTGTGAACGTGTTAGGCGACATATGACTGGCTCCGATGTATGCGAGATCTGGGGGAAAGAATCAGAGGACATCCTTCACGTACTGCGTACCTGTGAAAGGGCTGCCTCTTGCTGGAAACTAATCGTCCCAAGCCAGTCTCAAAGCACCTTCTTCTCTTGCTCTCAAGAAGAGTGGTTTGAAGCAAACCTTTCAGTTAGTCGCAGCAAGAATTCCTAGCGCATTATCTTTGGGCTCCTCTGCTGGAAACTTTGGGATGCTAGAAATAGGACCTTATTTTGTAACGAAAATGTGCATGCTATTACTCTTGTAAATAGAGTCCTAGCTCTGGGTGATCATACCCGGAGAGCCAAGGAATTCTATAGCGGCCTAGGTTTGGGTTAGCCTAAAACCCTTCTCTTGCTCTCCTCCTTTTCAGTTGTAATCTTTTTGTCTTTTTTGGTCCCGCTGTATATATTCTTTTTTGATTAATATATCTTCTTCTATTCAAAAAAAAAAAAAGGCTCGAGTATAGGCTAAGGATTATGTATGTAGTCTAATTACATTTGATTCAGGTAAGTCGCATGGTAAGAAGTTGAAGTATAAATACCTTATAGAGAATTATATTAGTTATGCTAATATCTCCTCTAGTTATATGTGTGATATATCTCTTCTTTGTTGACTCAATTTTTTAACCATATTCTTATGATGAAGCCGTTAAAAATCCTGATTAGGTAAATAATGTTAAATAATAATCCTATTATTAAATATTTATATTTAATTTTTTTATTTGATTAAAATATTTATTTATAATATCCATTTTGTATAAAAAATACAATTCATAAAATATTTTTTATATTTTTTATTTCTAATTATTTATATTTATATTTATATTTATAATTATGAAATATGAAAATAGATATAAAAATAATAAAGTTTAATTATAAATTTTATCATGATTATTTAACTCTTACACACACACATAATTATAATATCTCATTTTCATACATACTCATTCCTTCCTCCTTTCTTCTCTCACTCTCACACACACCATATTATCTCTCTAACCCTCTCTCTCTCTCTCTCTAACTTAACAACATGTGAAAATACTTTATTTTGTCATAGCAAATCATATTAATGAACAAAATTATTGTCTAAATATGATATTTTTATAAAAAACTTAAAATATTAATAAAAAGTTAAAATAAGCTTTTTGCGGTGACATTAAGTGTCACTGTTGAAAGTGACTTTCAGCGACGACATTTGCTTTCAGTGGTGACATGTTGAAGCCTCTTTTAGCAGTAACAATAACTGTCGCCAGTAAAAGTCCTTTTTAGTGGCAACATTAGGTAGCTGCTGAAAGTATATTTTTAGCAGCGATATAGTTAGTCGTCACTAAAAGTCTCATTTTTAAAAATTGACCTTCAATGACTACTCTAAAAGTGATATTTATGTTTGCTGTTAAAAGTAAGATTTTCAGCGACGTCTATTAATGTCACCACTAAAAGTCACACTTTTAGCAGTGACATCTTGTGTCGTGACTAAAAATTGTCACTGAAAGTCATTTTTTTGTGGTGTAAATAGTTGGGTGTTGAGTTTGTGTATGGACATATTATTCAGATCAATGACAGTAGTCTCAGTTTTTTGTGCCTGCTATGTGGGTTTGACAATTCCTTTTTCTTTTTGAAAAAATTGATAATAAATTCTTCAATGAAAAATTATTTGACAAATGATTCTTATAATAATAAATTACATAAGAAGCGATAAGTTGTATATAAAAAAATTAAGTTGTATAAAGAGAAGATAGTTTACACAAAACATTACTTACTTGGATGTAAAGGATTAATTTGACCATAAAGGAGAAAATGGATCATAAGATAAATTAAATTGCAAAAAAAAAAATTGCACGCTTAAAGAAAGATAATTACATACAAGAAAAGTTAATAGTTACACAAAAAGTTGTCGGGATCATTTTACCAATTAATTTTTTAATAAGAGATTGATGCTTGATTTTCTCTTGTTTTTTTCTTTTTATTATATTAAACTAATTTGTGTCATTGGTGGCTTAATTAATGATTTAATCTTTAAACCTACCCGTGTTTAGATAAGAGTTTCTAGATGAAGAATGTACGCAGCTATGTGTATGCTCATTAAACACGCGCGCGACAAAATTTGAATTTAATATTAAAATATTTGTTAATGTTTTTGAATTAATTAAGCCTGAAGTGAGCAGTACAATGTGGCAAATTATGATTTGCTGAAGATCGCAGAACTGGATCAGAACACAGACTCGGACTTGAAAGAAGTATCAGACTGAAACGATCCATAGTACATCCCTGACCGCCGCCACCTATGCTTCGAACTATCAGCAGATGCTTTAGCCTACATACAATTACATGCAAGTTTGTGCGGGGGGATTTTGTGTCACGTATATCACATAATTTGTTTTAATTTTCTGTTAATTATGTTATATTATCTCTAATTTTTAATATAAGACCCAATTAAATATTTAAAAAAATTAAAAAATACTTGAAAATATTTATATTATTATTTTTTTAAATTAATTTGTCTAATTTATAAACCAATATATAATCTAATGATGTACATTAGTATTTTAGAACGATTATGTAATATATGCTATAATTAAATAATTTTTTAATTTTTTAATCTCTCTAAATTAGTTAATTAGGTGTTATATTAGGGATCAGAAGTAATATTATTCATAAAACTAATGCAGGATTTATGAATCGGAAAAACCCAAGACACTAGAAGAAAATGAGGGAGAGAATATGTGTTTGGATGTTTAAAAGATTTTTTTTAAAGAATCGATTAAGAAATTTTTTATATAAAAGATTTTCTATTTTCTATTTTCTATTTTTCTTAAAAGAAAACTTAGTACTTATGGATATTTAATGTAAATTTAAAATATTGTCATTGTAATATGATAATATTCAGGCGTTTGTTTTGTCCAACATAGTGTTCAAGCTTGCATATAGCAAATAGTACATTTTTTTCACTTGTTTAAAAAATATACCTTTCTACAGATCCTATGCAATATAGTAATTTTTAGGGTGAATACTTAATGTTTAAATTTTAAATTTTTCTGAAGAAAAACTTATAAATTATTACAGAAATAAAAAAGTTCGCAAGTAATTTATGAGTTAAAAAATGGAATAAAGGAAGAGCTGTGAAATTTAAATAAATAAATTCTTCAAA